TGTGAGATCTCAGGCAGACAACTGGCGCCTCTCAGATCCTTGTCTGTGACTCGTGTACTCTATATATATTTTAAATAAACTAACCCAAACACTTTTACAGTGTTACATCTCCCCTTCTCCCCGAAATAAAGTTTTTGCAACACTGCTAAAGCAAGCTAGCTGTGTGCAACAACTTTATTAACGAAAAAAAAATACATCCTAGCTAAACAAATATACAACATCCTACTCTAAAAAATGAAATATATAGACAGACGTCCATTGTCTCTGGCTGGGCGACGTCACTGCTTGGTCTTGTAGATAATCCTGTACCACATTTCTTCAACACAACTGCCTCCGTCGCTTCTCCGTCGTTAACGCACAACAACACTTGGTCAACCCGAAAGCCGTTACTACTTGAACTGTGCACAGGACCGTGGAATTCGGTTGTCCCAGCTGATCTGTAATTGGCCCTACGTCAGTCACCATGAGAGACGTATATTGGGGTTCTTCACAGCTATAGGGACTACAAGTTTCGAGACCTTCATATAGTTGCCAACAGTAGAAATCCCATCCTACTCTTCTTCCTCCCTGTTGCTCCAGCACGCCTCCTTCAGAGAGCTACTTCTGACAGCCACATCAAGTCCGCATGACACAGGAAGAATCACTCAACAGAGCAACATGCTTGTAGGAGGGGCGGCCAGTCAAGGCAAACGATCCTGTCTTGCAATTACGCTCCATGCAATGATGCTGACACCAGCAAGGGACACTAGGTATCGTGTCTCACTCAGCTTGTCTTATCTTCTTTCTTCTCTCTTCTTTCTTCTCTCTTCCTTCTTCTCTCTTCCTTCTTCTCTCTTCCTTCTTCTCTCTTCTTTCTTCTCTCTTCCTCCTCCCATGGGTCTTTGACAAGCGACCTGGGGTCCATTGGGGTCTGTCCGTCCTGGGGTCCATCCTGGGTACACCGATGTTGGTGGGACAGACTGGAGTCGTTGTTGTTCCTCTTCCATCTTTACTGGGTCGTCTGGGGTCGTCTGCAGAACGACCTGGGGTCCACTGGGGTCCGTCCGTCTTGGGGTCCACTGGGTAGACCAATGTTGACCGACCGAGAGGGCTGCCTCTTGGGGTCCCCCTGGGGTGGTGGTGGTGGTGGAGCCATGACCTCCAGGTAGTGGGCTGGTCGTGGTGGTGGTGATAAACGCCCCTGAGTGTGGTACATAGCAGCCGTCTCCCTCTTTTGTATGTGCGTCTCTCCTCTCTTCTGGCTCCCACCTGTGGATGAACAGAAAGGCGACAATATCGTGCTCCCAAGATATTTGTGTGACCCTGTAGTTTGTATAGGGTTACACAGTCATATCATAACGCTCTCCTCCTGGCAACAACTACACTTCAATTTTTAATAATTCAATTAACTCTGAATGATATTGACTTGGTGGAACATAAAACAGTAACAGAGTAAAGTTAGAGAAGAGAGAATAAGGTCATCACTACTTTTTAACTTGTCAAAAAAAAAAATCAACACTAATAGACAAAACACTAGCCTAAACTTAACTGTACCGTTCCTAATCTTAAGTACATAATTAACCATTACTCCCACCCTTAACCTACAGCCACCTACGTGACCCAGAGTGTCTAACGTCGAGCGTCCCCAACGTGAAGTCTACTGACATACTAAGGCTCCCCCTAGCATGCTGTACAAGACCAGTACACCTCGGGTTATTGCGTTCAAATGGAGTAAAACAGTCGATCGCAATAATCTGAGCAGAACCACTAAAAACTACTTAAAATCTATTTAAGAACTACACCTGCCACTCCCCACTGACCTGGAGACCAGCGGTGGCTGGGTGTCCCCGTGGGACATGCGAGGTCACCTGTCACACTCAGCTGACCTGCACTACCAACACCGCTAAGTTCCCAAATCGCCAAATCTTATTACTAACATGAATCACTACACACGCAAGTTCTGGTGAACATTCCCTGAACTACACAAAACTCACAAAATCACTAAACACAACACCAGAGAATCACCATCTCCTAACCTGAAAAAAAGTTCGCTAACTCGCGAAAGTAAAACACCTGTCAAGATCTCCCTGATAGCGCCTGAGCGGCAAAAGGACACGTGGGACTGAACAATGTTAAAAGAACACCAACTACCTACAACATTGTTCAACACCGCTGCCAACATTGTAACGGGGGGTGGGGGAAATAGCTCTATCTTGTCCATTATTCCACCCCCCCCAGTTAACTAACGAGGCCGGGGGAAACAGCTCTCTCTAGTCCGTTATCCCGTCCCCAGTTAGCTAACTATTCTAGAGCACCTCCAGAGTTCCTAAGGCAACCTCTCTGGTTCAACACCTTGTAACCTAGGTATTTGACTACCTAGGTGCTAAGACTACAAGGCGCCGTAACTGGATCAGCTACCCGAAACTCTAGAGAGAACTCTAGAATACTGAATCATTGCCACAAACGTATAAGAGAATACGAGAGGAAAGAAATGAATAGTGAAGTAATTAGTGAGGGTTTGGGGTGAGAGGGAGAGAGGTGGGAGGGGCAAGGAGGGTCATTAGTTGAAAGTGAGAGTTTAGAGAAGGGTGGAGGGAGAGGTGTAGATAGGTAGAAGGAGAAGAGTAGATAGTAGAAGTAGAAGAGTAGATAGTAGAAGACGAAATGCTGCCACCATCCATTCATGATCATTACATACAAGACAAGGAATGGAACTTGCCTGTATCACAAAATTCTCAAAAGATGTTATCATGAGTTCATTATTAGTATGTTCCCTCTGTACCATGTACTCCTTAAAATCAGGGTAGGGAGCAGGTCTCTGGTGACAAACAGTTAACGTTAAAAAAGATAGCATAAAAAAACGCGAAGACAAACAGTTTTTAAAAATGATGATTTTTGGTGCAGATACTGCACTTTGCTTCTTCTTGTGGCCAGTACTTGGTGTCGTATTCGTACTTGTAACACTTAATTAAAGCATTGACGTATGACGTAATAACGCTCCTTCTTGACTGTGTCAGGTGTGATGGATATATCCAAGCACCTGAAGCCATTTATACTGCCTGTGTCGCTGCTGCAGCTGTAGAGAAGGTAACCTTAAGGGCATAGGCCTTAGGCTGTCGTCGTTCTTAATGGCCTTGACTTTAACTGCAGTCAGGGCTGAGTTCCTTGAGTTGATGTTTTCAAGTATGGTGGTAGGGTCCTGGTTGGTGATGTAGACACTGGTGTGGCTGACGAAGATGGTTCGTTTGGCCAAGTAAGAGGATGAGTTCGGAGTTGAGTAGAGCATCCTGGTGTTCTGGAGCAAAGAGTTGTTCCAGCACTTTCTCGCTTGAATATAGAAGTACAGCGACGTCAGCATCTTCGCGGATGTCCAATGGAGCAGCATTCGTGATGTCAACACTTTTCTTGAGTATTTTGGGTCCGGTGAATACGGTTTCCCCCCCGAGACCGGACTTTGATGCCGTAGATCATGATGATGGTGAATCTCTCTATGACTACCTCATCACGGGAGATTGCCTACCGTCTCTTCTCGGTATACAGTACCAAGATGGTAGTGGGGTGTGACAATCTAGAATGAAGTTAGCCTTCTGCCCAATATTTACCCACCTGGCAGTGCTGGGTGCAAGAGAGGTGTGATCCGGTTATGTTATGGGTTGTGTCGTTGTCGGTTGTCGACATAGGAGGTAGTAGCGTTCCTTCTTGACGGTGTTCGGTGTGATTGATATATTGAGGCATCTGAAGCCATTTTCCACAGCTTGGGTCGCTGCTGTAGCTGCAGCAGCTACAGAAGGTGTAGGTCACCTTCAAGGTAGGTCGTAGGTTGTTGTTCTTGATAACTTTAAGGGGGTCGGATGTACAAAAATATTCGTAAAAATATGAACTATAGAATCAAATGTTAAACAAATATAGCGTTATTTGGCATCAGAGTCGTGAACCTTTCAGCCCAATATGTTAAGAAGGGGTTTTTATATGAATTTAAAAAATAAACGTTTGCAATTGGTACTGATGATAACAATAACACCTAGTTAGTGGGACTCATGGATAATGCAGTGATGAAGAGATGCAAGCACCTGTCCGACGCACAAAGAAGTAGTAGTAAGGAGGGTCCACCATGCAGCTGCATGGTGCCTTCTAGGACCTGGAGAGCAAAATTTCACACATATAATAATGAGTAAATATGGTATTTTGTTGTATTTTATTATGTATCATATAATTACATTGCCAAATGACAATATTTCTTATGTCCACCAATTGTTTTTGGGGGAAGTTTTTTTTGTCTTATTTGTATCTCATCTGATTTTGTTGTGGCTTCCACATCTTGGAGAATACACACCCTTCACTAAGTATGTGAAGTTAGAATGAAATTGGTCGACATGTAAATCAGCCACAGATGCCAGAACTTGTGACTTATTTTTTGTTGCCCAGTTATTCACAGATTTCAAACTCTATTTTCTTTGTCTCTTTAGGTTATTTTTGCTGACTGGGGACCAGATGAGGGCTTTATCACTTATATACAGTATAGTTATGTATCCCCTTAACCCATTATTAAGGCTTATCCCTATATTTTGTTTTTTGGGGGGGATTATTTTTCTTGGCATCATTTCAACACATATTGATCTACAACTTACACATATTCAAGTACAAATGCCAAGCAATATTTATTAAAATTTACAAGATATGACATCAATTCGAACTACTATATTTATTGTCAAGACCTTTACCTTCATTATTCTTTACCTGTATTATTCTTATACACTTGCAGTGTATAAGCTCCTAGAAACGGAATATACACTTATCGATGCATACACAATCCCACAACCATGAGTTAACCTGTCATGGGAACACATGGAGCACCTATTCTCACTAAGCACAATATTGTTGTTTAAAATTCAGCTACTCGGAATAAAAACTTCCAAATAGCACGGGCTATGGTGAGCCCGTAGTGGACTTACCTGGCACAGGAACGGGGCTGTAACTTAACTAAGCACAACTAGGTGAGTACGTCCAAAGAATGACGTGAGGGTGGTGACGTCACGGGTGTGACGTCACCAGAGCCCTCCACCTGCCGCTGGGGAAACATTCGCACCTCGGGACTCCCAAAAGTGGCATACAGCTCTACCTTCAGCTATTGATACCTGCACTGAAAGCAAAGAATATTTAGGTCAGTAGCGCCGTATTTTCAGCCAGAGTTAGAGTCGAACCCCCCATGGAGGTGACGGATAAGTTGCTGGTGTACACGCCGAGGGAAGTGTAGTGTGACATAAGTAACCTTGGAGATTACAAAGCACACACTACTGTACAGGTACACACACACACAGCTGACAAGGGACCTCTGGCCCAGAACGGAATGTGCTCTATCTATCATTCTCAGATCATTCCTGATCTTCTATCGTCTCTAGGAGCACTTTGTTTTACAGATCACAACACTAAAGTGATCTAGCCCAAAGATATAGTCCCCCAAGGTGTTATTGCACATTTCAATAGGCCTACGGTACAAAATACATTATCTAAATTGGACAAAGAGTTGTCTAATAATTATTTTTGTTGTATATAAGTGAACCAATTGGTGACCACTCATGACAAATTTTTTTATTAAATTTTTCAAGGTTCATTCATGCTATCTGGTTGATTTACGTTAAGTTAGGTTAGGCTAGGCGAGGCTAGGCAAGAAATTGCTGTCGTACACATCTACTAGTAAATGGAACGTAGCAGTAAGCAGCTCTGCACAAAATTTGAGTTTGGTATTGTATGCATTTTTTTTTGTGTTGCCAAGTATTTTTTTCATGCTAAACACAAACCTCCTGTCAGCATTACATTATCTTGTATCAATAGTTGAATATCTTGTGAAATAGTGCAGCATCTCATAAGATTTGTCTCGGTAGTGCAGCATCTCATAAGATTTGTCTCGGTAGTGCAGCATCTCATAAGATTTGTCTTGGTAATGCAGCTTCTTATAGTATGTGTCCCAATACTAGGGCATCAGACCATAAAATGAGTCACAATGAGGTGGTCCTCACCATTGATATCCTATTTAGCAACTAATTTATTTGTCCAGTCTAAAAATAGCCCATGAAGCTGTAGTGTATCGTGGGCCTGTATCCAACATGTCCACAATTCTTCAGTTAGTTGCTCATTATGGAGACTACAGTATTCTCTGTGTACCAGAGGACGCAACGATAGGGCACTTGCTGGATAAATGTCATTTTAGGGGACTATCTGTGAAGGTCTAGTATAGTTTTGGGTTAATAGGGTTGTGGGCGAGTCGAAATGCAGTTCCGAACGGCAAAACTTTGCAGCTCTTCCTATGCTGCACACATTTTCTTAATGAATGAGGGACCTCCTCTACTGCCTCCTCCTCCTCCTGAAGAAATTTCCTCAGCTGTCTCTTGTTGCTGCTCTTTATGAAAGACTAGAAGTTTGTCGGTGGCCAGGGGCCAGATTCACGAAAGAACTTACGCAAGCACTTACGAACGTGTACATCTTTCCTCAATCTTTGACGGCTTTGGTTACATTTATTAAACAGTTTACAAGCATGAAAACTTCCCATTCAACTGTTGTTATTGTTATAAACAGCCTCCTGGTGCTTCGGAGCTCATTAACTGTTTAATAATTGGAAACAAAGCCACCAAAGACTGAGAAAAGATGTACAGGTTTGTAAGTGTTTGCGTAAGTGCTTTCGTGAATCTGGCCCCAGTTCTTCACTGTGTTCCTCCACCAACTCCTCCACATCAGCACCATCCAGCCTAGATAGTACAACAACCCTCATACCATTTTCATGTTTACGAATGATCTCTTGTTTTGCCTCTTTTTGTCATCCTCACATTTGTTTTCTTAGGTTGAACCTTATCACTGACTTTCTTGGGACCCATGGCATGATGTATAATAAACACTTATGTTCAGAAACCAAAAAGCACAAAAACAATGAAATCCTTTACAAAGAGCCCAATCTCGAGCCCAATCGTCATTAGGCGTGAGGCACTGGTAAACTGAAGCACACCTTGCCTGTGCCACCAGGAACCATGCGCCCGGTCGACCCATACCTGTATCAACAAACTCACCAAGTGAGGCAAAGCTCATAAACCGAGTCAAATTTTTCGAAGAAATTGAGCTCGTAAACTGAAAAATTCGTAAAGAGGAGCATTCATAAACCGAGGTTCCACTGTACTGGAAACCATGGCTGCTCTCTTCCCTTGCTGAAGGGTCTAGGCTAGAGTTTCTTGCACTTTTTTATTTCATGTGTAACTGGCAAGGTCATTATGGCTCTCGCATCTGATTCCTTAGTTATTTTTGGGGAAGGGGGGGGGGGAATGTGCCACAATGTCCTTTCCTGTTACCTCTGTCATGTGGCCTGCTGGGTCAAGATGCAGGTGTGTGCATCAAGATGCGGGTGTGGGCCAGTGTTAAATTCTGAGCTTTGGTTTTGATCGAGCCACCTTCTTGGGCAGGTAATTTGCAGGTTGCCTTCTATTCTATCAAGTATGGCTCAGTAGGACTTACCAATTAAGATGCAAATGAGTGTCACCTTCTTCGAGCGTCGCCTTGTTCGATTGTCGCCTTGTTCGATTGTCGCCTTGTTCGATTGTCGCCTTGTTCGATTGTCGCCTTGTTCGAGTGTCGCCTTGTTCGAGTGTCGCCTTGTTCGAGTGTCGCCTTGTTCGAGCGTCGCCTTGTTCGAGCGTCGCCTTGTTCGAGCGTCGCCTTGTTCGAGCGTCGCCTTGTTCGAGCGTCGCCTTGTTCGAGCGTCGCCTTGTTCGAGCGTCGCCTTGTTCGAGCGTCGCCTTGTTCGAGCGTCGCCTTGTTCGAGCGTCGCCTTGTTCGAGCGTCGCCTTGTTCGAGGGTCGCCTTGTTCGAGCGTCGCCTTGTTCGAGCGTCGCCTTGTTCGAGCGTCGCCTTGTTCGAGCGTCGCCTTGTTCGAGCGTCGCCTTGTTCGAGCGTCGCCTTACTTGAGTGCCGCTATGTTCGAGCACCGTCTTGTTCGAGCGCTGCCTTACTTGAGTGCCGCTATGTTCGAGCGCCGTCTTGTTCGAGCGCCGCCTTGTTCATTTGCTGCCTTGTTCGTGCACTGCCTTGCTTGGGTGTTTGTGTGGCACATGGATTCTGCCTTAGGTAGCACCTTAGTGTTTCTGCTTAGCATCAAGAGGAGCTTTCTACAATGAATCAAGTCCTGAGTTTTTAGCTGTTGTTGTTATTTTAGATTCAGCTACTCGGGAAAAAACAGTTCCAAGTAGCACGGGCTATGGTGAGCCCGTAGTGGACTTACGTGGCACAGTAGCAGGACTGTATTTTTTAGCTGATTATGAAAAAGTTGGTAATTTTTCTTTGTCCTACATTTCAAATTGATACAAAACTTTATTCTTTCTCAGTGAATATGACAGGATGGTAGAGAGCCCAGGGAGCCTGCAGGAGCTGGTAGTGGAGTTCATTGCCAGCCATGTTAAAGAAGTGTGCACTTCACGCTTCTCACTTAACGATGACACCAACAGGTTATACTTTAGGTAATATATCTATTATTTTGTTAATGTTACATGGCCAAGAGTATGAAGTAGTTGACATTGTTTAATCCTGAAATGGAAGTTTATGTTCTGGAAGAAACATATTAACGTAAAGAAAATGCTGTAGAAAATAGATGTACAGTATTCACTATATGTATAAGTAAAGGTGATTGACTTAAAATTGGTAGTAGAGTTTATGTATTAAAAGTTATTTCTATTATAAAAGTTTTATTTAACACAGTACAATAGTTTATATTTGACATGAAAATAAAGTACCAGTAGGCTGAGTATGAATACATGTACATATAATTTTTTGAATATGTCTATAAGGCAATTTTTGAAGATATGTAATTGGTACATTGCCTTTAACTGGATGTTATACCAGGAAAATAATAGCGTTTCAGGGTACATAGTTTCTTGTAGGATATACATTAGTGTATCATGTCGATTCATTATTAGATTCCCTCTTATTTAGGCCACAGTAGAGGTACTAGTAATTTACTTTAAAAGGCATTCTTATTTACATGGAGGGAAGAAAAATAAGTAGAGCACACTGAAATTAGAGGTGACCATTTTTAAATTAATGTATTGTTTTCATTTCAGGGATTCTAATGCATTTTGTCACCAGAAAGTCGCAAACCACCTACTTATGACACTGGATAGAAAAGGTTTACTAGATGATTTAAATATGACTTTATTTGATCCTGTAGTATTACGTTTAAGTCAAGTGACGCTACACCATGCTGATAATGTGACTTGTAAAGGCCTGAAAATCCTTAGAAGTCATCAAATACAGTCTGTTGAAGTGAAAAACCTCTCGAAAGTGTCAGTGGACGAACTTATTAGTTGTTTTGGTGAATGGACACTTAACAATATTCAAGCCTTGAGTGTTAGTGGTTCTTCATTTACATCTCATATATCGAAAACAAATGCTAAGGGTAATGTGCTTTCTACAAAACTGTATGTAGGACTTAGCAAGTTAAAAAACTTGCATGTTCTTAATGTAAGTGGAACTGAATTGGCTTCTCATGCTCTTTTAAATGTGTGTAATGACCTTCACATGTTATCATCACTTGATATTTCCAACTGTACAAAATTGGAATCAGTTGAGTGCTTAAGAATACGAAAAAACACTTTGAAATCACTTAATATGTATAATTTAAAAGTTTTACGGATGGAAGAAACGAGGCAAGTGTTGTTAGATCTCAGAGAACTTATCCATCTTGATATTAGTGAAAATAAAAGTAATCAGGATCCAATAGATAGACTGATGCCAACATGTCCTATAGTTCCAAGTTTGCTCAGGGATCGGAAGTTTGGTCCAAATCTCTGCTCCCTTGATATCTCTGGTCAGGACCAAACTAAGCTAGAAGATCTTCACTTCTTCCTCAAGACTCATTCTAAGATTGAATTCCTGGGGCTAATGCTGACATCCCTCTGCTTAGACACAGTGTTTCTTGATGGCTACAGTATAACGGTACGTTTACTGAAAGGTTATAATATATATATATATATATATATATATATATATATATATATATATATATATATATATATATATATATATATATATATGATATTATATTTCTGATCAACATTGTTGCCAAAAGCAGGATACAGTTTTAAAGTGAATAATAGTGTTACAACTGTGTGTGGTATATTGTCATTATTGATATGGAGCAGCAATTTTACTGTGTAATGCATCTTTTTTCAGTTTAATATTATTTTCCTATACAAAATAATTTAGAAGCCTTAGAGTCAACATTGATTAATTAATGGTTTTATCACTTTTTGTTTTGGAGGGGGGAGGCAGTTATAATCATCCTATTTCAAATAATATGGAATAATTATGATACTCAGTACTACATGAAATACACTAAATTGATTTACCAATTGCACGAGCAGTTAATGACATCCAACATACTGAATGAAGGGATTTTTGTCTCTTTGAGCCTTAATGTTTTTAACATCATTTCCCTGTATTGCTCACTTAGTTCCATAGGTCTAACCTCTAAAATAGTGTTGAAATGATTCATTCAATCAATTCAGGCTGATTCCTTCCCTGATCAACCATGTTATAACTTGTACATCAGGCTGTGAGTAACCGCACCGATCAGCCTGGTTGATCAGACGGAATCATTAACTGGTAGTCAACAGGTAGCCCAAGGAAAGTAGGAAATGGGATAAGATGTTATCATTAGCTTTGATGGGCTTTATTAATGATTTACTGTACTTACAATGTGGAAAGACTTCTTTCTTAATATGCTTACACATGTGAATACAGTACTGTACTAAGAAAACTATACAGTACTGTATTTGAAATTTTGCTTTTAATGTCTTGGAAATTATCTACTGTAATACTTACAATGTACTTCAAATGCTGAAATATTTTAAATTTGTAAGGTTTGTTTAAGCATTTTCATTTGTGTATTTTAATCAAAATAAACTACTGTACTTATTTAAATAATGATAATTAGAAATTGCATAGCGTTTCATGTAAAATAACATTCAAGACTTGTTTGATGCATTAACTGATAATTTAATAAAAAAAGTAATGGTATATATATTCATTTTATTTTTACTTTTAATCTTTAAAATTTTGTCATCTTTTATTGTACTGTTTCATATTTTATTTGCAGTGCTTCTTACAGGTAACAGGTGTTGCCCGGGCAGATCAACTTGTGGAAGCACTCAGAAGATATCCAACAAGAATGGAATATGTACCCAAAATATTATATAAAATTTTTATGCTGACAACTCATTTTGAAAGCCCAAGGCCAGACGTGATCAAGGTTCGTACATGGGTATCCTCATTGGGGAGACGGTGGTGAGGCTTTTGTTTATTTCTCTCTTGTTTTGCTCCATTTACAATTAGGCTTTCATTTTCCCTGGTTTAGGGCAGTACAGCATTATGTGACCACTAATAGCTGTTTACAATTTTACGAAGTATATTAAACCTAATATCGCACATCCCCCGTCAAAATTTATCTTTTAGGGTCTACTAGTTAAAGTGTTCAAGCACAATTTAAACCAAACTTTATAACCAAATAATGGCTCAATTCCAAAGTTTTGGAAATACTGTAGTTTATCCACAGTAGCTCTTAATATTTCGTTTTTTTTTCACTAAATATGTCTTCTTTAATAGCAGAAGTAAAGCTGCTTGCACAGTTGTTCGGGTCTGAAGAAAAAACAAAAGAAAGTGTCGATTATCATCTCCCACATAAACCTGTGGTTTACTTGTGGCCAGTTTTGAGTTTTTTGTTTTATTTATTTATCGAGCTCAGGCTAAGGCCAGACTTTCCTGGTGATGGCCTGATCAGTGTGACTGGTGCAAATCGTGGCTCACTTGCCTACATAGCCATCACAACTTGGCTAGTCAGATACTGTACTTCCTCTAAGAACATGTCTGGCTCCCTCTTAAAAATTTGAATCTTTGTACCTGCAATGCTTTTTATATTTACATATATTGTTAGGAAGTTGGAGTTGAGTACCTGAGATGTTCACACAGTATTCTACAGTTATCCTTATACTTCCTTACTCTGGTTCATTCTGCACTTCTTACCTTATCCTTATACTTCCTTACTCTGGTTCATTCTGCACTTCTTACCTTATTTTTCAATGAAATATTTAATTGTATTGCGAAAATTTGGGTTTGTGTTGTGTACTTACTGATATATTTAATGCAATTGTTTTCCAGTTGATACTGCCAGTGATGAACACACACCATACCCTGAGTTCCATACAGCTAGCAGGCACAGCCTGCTTGTACAATCTGACAAAGGGTCAGGTAGGAGAGCAAATCCATCCTCACATCCTCAGAGATGTTGTCCATACTACACTGACTGCCATGAGCAACTTCCCCAACCATGCCCAGGTTGGTTTGAATATTTGCCGACTTTCACATTTGTCAAATAATTTAATTGAGAAAAATACTAAAAAAAAATACTATTACAAATACAGTATTGGAATTCTTTAAACTTCTGTCCTGTTTTGAGGAGTGGAAGATTGACATAAATTGTTAATCTAATGTACTAATCCTATTTTATAAAAGCCAAATTTAAACTATATTGCATTTTTTTTATTTTTTTCTAATTTTAGCTTCACTTTTCATACTACTGTATAAAGCATACCTTACATAATACTGTATAATTTTGGGTCATCATTGAATATTTGCCAGAAAAGTATAGAATTCAGATGGTTTATTCTAAGAAATCTTATATGTACAATTTGGTGATGCATGAGAAAGACTTTCAGGTATTGATAAAAATATTTGCTAAATTTTTGGTTTGAGCATTATTGCTTTTTTTCAGCTTCAAAAAAATGGCCTTCTAACTTTATGTTGTGATCGAATACTACACGAAGTGTCGTTCGATAAGTATTGGTGTGCCCGGCTGGTGTTGGATTGCCTCCTCACTTTCAACGATCCCTCCACTGACAGAATGGCTGTTGCAATCTGCTCCATTTTAGCAGCTAAAATATCTACAACTCAGACTGCCCTCCTGGGTGCAAAGGTAAGGATGAGGGCTTATTTATTGTAATATTGTGTACTGTACAGTATTCATTGAAGTTGTTAACAATTAGATGGCAGTAGTGTAACCACAAGGTCCGACTAGGCTGCTACTGGGAAGCAACACGTGCATTGGGAGAAGTTTTGTCATAAGATCATTGGCATTTTTTGCTATGAGTTACTTCATCGAATAAGGTATCCAAGTCTTGCCTCACCTTCTTGTGCTGGCCTTGTTAGTACTGTACACCATATGTGGTGGAACTGAAGAAAAAGGCTAAATATTTACAGTTTTTTAGTTTTTTTGGCTTTCTTTAGTCAATTATAGTTTTTAATTTTAAATTTTATATTATTATTATTATTTTTTGTTAACTGACTGCTATGGCCAACATAACTATTTTCTGTCTGCTAGCTGACATTACAGTGTATAATTATTAAAGTGATTTATACTTTTTGTATTTTTAGTCATTTTGCCAAGTTATTGACAACATTTGTGTGGCACATGTATTTAGGATGTTATGATTAGATTTTGTTCTGTAGTTTATGTTAAGAGTGACAGTATCATGTGTTGGGTCATTGTTGTCACTATTGTTTCTCTTGGTCTAACAGAGCATTTACATGCGCAAGTTGCTGAGCTTGGTGCAGAGGCGGATGGAAGAGGGGGAAGTGGATATTACTCTAAAATTTACACTCTCTGCTTTATGGAATTTGACTGGTTAGTATTATATTCCTAGTATGAATGTTGCTGTATAATTTGGATTATAAGCTAAACCTGAAGCTTACCTGGGTTCCAGGTAAGGTTCCAGGTTCTACTCCCTGGGCCCAGCCTGGAGCCAGATGTAGTAACATTATTTCTGGTTAAAACAAAATTATATTACTATTCTACAATTGCAAAATTTCTTTTGGTATATTTTGTGCTCAACAGATGAATCACCAGCAACGTGTGAAGTTTTTTTGGCCGAAAAAGGACTTAATTTGTTTCTTCAACTGCTAAATGTATTTGCCCGAGATGCTGCTGTGGAGACTAAAGTGCTTGGCCTCCTGAACAACATAGCAGAAGTGTCTCCTCTCAGAGGTGCTCTCATTAATAAGCACTTTGTTGCTCAACTCAAGTGAGTGGCATTTTGTGTATTGAGTAATAGGTTGTTTAGTGTCTGTGTGTGTAATTACCTAGGTGTAGTTACAGGATGAGAGCTACGCTCATGGTGTCCTGTCTTCCCAGTATGCTTTGTCGTATAATACTTTGAAACTACTGACAATTTTGGCCTCCACCATCACCTCACTTAGCTTGTTCCAACCATCTACCACTTCGTTTGCAAGAGAAAATTTTCTAAAACAATTTCGGCGCCTCTATTTTCTTAGCTTGAATCTGTGTCCTCTTGTTCGTGAAGTTGCTGGTTTCAGGAATTCCTCTTTGTCAATTTGGTGTACTCCTGTTAGTATTTTGTGAATGGTGATCATATCACCTCTCTTTCTTGTCTTCTCGTTATGTATGTGTGTGTGTATTTACTATTTGTGCCTGCAGAATCGAGCTATTAGCTCTTGGACCATCCCTTCCTAACCAATCAATTTTCCTCTATTATATCAACTACATACAGTATATTTCTCTAACACAAGCAGGAGCACACACACATTCCTTGAAAGCAGCCCATAGCAGTTGTCTAACTCCCAGGTGCCTATTTACTGCTAGGTGAACTTTCGTTCATCAGGGTGAAAGAAACTTTGCCCATTTTGTTTCAGCCTTCGCTGGGAATCGATCCCGAGCCCTTAGGCCCGGGTTCAACCCCCATGCGCTGTCTACTCAGCCATGAGGTCCCCCCCTGTGTGTGTGTGTGTGTGTGTGTGTGTGTGTGTGTGTGTGTATTCACCTAGTTGTGCTTGCGGGGGTTGAGCTCTGCTCTTTCGGTCCGCCTCTCAATTGTCAATCAACTGTTTATTAACTTTTTTTTTTTCCCCACACCACACATACACACACACACCCCAGGAAGCAGCCCATGACAGCTGACTAACTCCCAGGTATCTATTTACTGCTAGGTAACAGGGGCATCAGGGTGAAAGAAACTCTGCCCATTGTTTCTTGCCGGCGCCGGGAATCAAACCCAGTACCACAGGATCACGTGTCCAGCATGCTGTCCAGTCAGCCACCGGCGGTGTGTGTGTGTTTTTATTGTAGTTGTATATAAAGAGTTAGTTGTATATAAAGTGATGGGTTGTACAGAAAGTGATGGTTATGTTGAAAATTAAATATTAATATGAGTGGACTATAAAAGTAGTAAATGTTTATCTATATAGAGTTAATCAAGCAACATTAATTTTATAAATTTTATTAGATTAAGTTTAAATTACAAAGATGATTGTAGACAATATAGAATAATGCCTTGGCTAGCTAGGGACACATTTACTCAATGCTGGGGATCATGGACTTCCTGGAGTACCGCAAACATAAAACAACTGCTTCATACATACGCACATCCTGTGTCAAGCAGTGTTAATACTCTACTGTATGCTAACTCAGTATCTATCTATTAACTTTTAAACAACTGTATGTTTTCAAATGCTGATGTTTTTCTCAAATAAAATACTAGATAATAATCAATTTTGAAAACTCCACCATTTTGATAAATTTTGATGTTGGTACACATACAAATTGAGTTACAACTACCGAGCTTCATTAAATTCTTTTCATGTGTACAACATTTACCTTTTGTCATTAAGGTGAATGGCTAGAATTAATTTTATGATTAATGTATTACTGTGTTAGCGTTCCATGTTCTACAGTCAAATTTGTGCTCGCAATCTCTTTCGAAACCTCTGAATGTCTCTCCTACATGAGTTTTATCGCAATGACTTCATTATTTCCACATCTATAATAGCAATAGAAAGCAAACCTAATTAGAGAGCCCTCATGCTGGAACTTAAATTTATAAGATCCCAGCCTATACATGATGTATAAAAAAGAGTATTGAGGACCTGAATAAAATCTAAAGCAATATTCGACATTACTGTACTGCCAATATATGTTTTTACCACAATTGATAAAACATACTTTTAAGCATATGCACACATTCAAATAATATTTAAGTAATGTATTAAATATAATATAAAGCTAATGTGAATCCAAAAGATAACTAGATTTTAACTTTTGCAAAAGAGCAGCTTTTTCCATGTTACCATCTATAAGCAGATTACAAATACACATAAAAAGTAGAAATGTATACAATTGATAACAAGAATGCTTTACAATATCTCAGTCTTCTACATTATATAAATTATTGAATGAAATTTCATACTGAAATATAACAGGAAAATAAAAAATGTCTTGGAATAAATTTAAAAAAATTATGGCTACTACTGTGATCAGGTACAGTTAATTTACATAATAATTTTTATTTTGGTATAGCAGAGGGTCCAGAACTGCCGCTAGCATGGAGGTTTATTTTACTTAATGTATATGCCATAGTTGAGGCTTCTGCTTCTGATTCTCTTTTGCCTGACTCTAAAATTGGAGGCTTCACATAATATCTATCCATTTTCTGCTTCTTTGCACTTCTTCGCCTCCCTCAGGTAATATTCTTTGGCCAGCCTCAAGTGTGGATAATGATCTGCAACTTCCTCATTGTCTTTAAGGAAGCATCCAAAAGAAAATCTACACAGGTAACAGACATTGTAGTCTACTGCTTGCTCACTATCATTATTATTCTCCTCCTCACTACCACCACCTAACACTTGGCAGTTTCAGCCTCTGTTAACAAACCATTTATAGTATTCTGGGTCATCTTTTTGCCATCTTCAAACACTTCACCACGTTATTCATATTTGAATCATTACCCCCACCTTCTCAGCATTCTGTGGATATCATTGTCAAATTCTTAAGTCATATTAATCAACCTCATATTCATCAAAATCTACAGGTACATGCTTTAGCATTTTATTCCCAGTTGTAAATAGCAACTGTTTATTTTAATTTTGTATTGTTCTTCCTCTTGTGTCCTCATTCTTATCATGAACTATGGCCAATGCCTCGTGCAGCAGTGTCTTTCTATACAATCTCTTTGTAAGATAAATTTCACCTTGATCTATAGGCTGGAGCAGTGGGATCATTTATGATAGAAGAGCCAGGCATGAAAATCTTGCTATCCACTCATCTTAAAACTCTTCCCATCATGATATGCTGGAACATTATCAAGCAAGAATAAGTCCTATAATTCATAAGCCTTCAACATCCTGCCTTTAATTTTGAGCTTTTTTACCGTCTTGCAAAAATTATGAAATCAGCCTTCAAAAATTCTTGAGGTCTAGCTTTATCACTATGAACAAAAATTCTAAAAGATAAAAAATTCTTTGATAACTTTATGACCAGGAATAGCTTCCTCCATCCTAGTAGTCAGTGTTTCATTTGGTAAAATTCTCCACACCAAACTAATTTTAGCTACATTTAAATTGATGACAAATTAAAATTTCAGAAAAAAATACAATACCTGTACTGTGATATAATTTCCTCTTGAAGGGTTCCACACTGTTCACACAAACATTTGATTTTGCACTTGAAATCTTCCTTCTACTAATTGCATACTGTACCGTTATTAATATTTTGAAGCCAGCCTATACTACCTTTAAACTCCTCAATGACCAAGTTATGTGGAAATTGCTCTGTCTGTGACTTTGTCTTCGCCTTCGATGGGCAGTCAAACACTGTGTTGCTCTTACAATCACTTAGGTGCACCGCCATCTATTTCCTCATGCTTTGATTTCTTGAGCTATTTAGTCTCTGAACTTTTGCCACCACTTCTTCCTCTGTATTGGACTTCAAAAATCTGCATTTACTGTTTTTGTGCAGTGGTAATATCATATCCAGATTATATTGTTCTTAACCCACTTTAGAGTTAAAAGAAATACAGATTCCAAATAATTATTCTCTTTTTGGCAATTTATCTCCAGCTGTTTTGTAGTTTGTATATATAAAATGATATGACACATATTTCTTAACATTTAGATACAAATAATGTATAAACAATAATTTAGTTTGCATAAAAATATGCTCTAAACATGCTCCTAAAATAAAATACTTAAGCGGAACACTGGTAAATTTCAGATGGGTATGTTCTGAATAAGCTCCTCTTGCCAAAAGTGTTGGTCATATGACCATCATTGCCAGGACAGTGTGTGTTGTGGTGACATCTTAGTGTGCATTTCCTTGGATCTACCTCTACATATATATTTTATATTGAATTTTTTCATTTGTGCACCTCCCATCAAATTTATAATGATGTTTCTTGTAAACTGTAGTACTTAGTGTACTATAAACATTCTAGATATGTTTTACATAAAAATAACATTGAAACTTAAACATATAAAAGGTGTGCTTATACGAGTGTTTTAGGTAATTCCAACACTCCTAATTAGCCGATACCAATACTGATGCTTAATTTTTTGTTTAGATGTTAGAGCTTATGAAGACAGCAATGCTTCTTGTGGTCTCATGGTTTGTAAAAAACTGTAGTAAAGTAGTAATACTCAATGCTGTAATTATAATCAGAACACAACTGTTCCTGCAGAGTCTGCTAAATGAAACTGTGCTAAATAGCAGAGATTACTGATTAGTAACACTAAAATAAACAGTTCCCTACTGTATTTTTTATATTATAACTAAATAATTTAATCTTTTACAGGACACTTTTATGGTCGCCAAATGTTGATGTGAGCTACTTTGCAGCTGGGATTGTTGCTCATTTAGTTTGTGCTAGCGAGGACTCGTGGAATGAACCGGGCATATCCAAGCAAGATTTGCTGGAAGAACTCGTAAGTATGTTTTGCCTTGGAATTTATTTTAATCTTGTCATAAGGTGCACACTGTGCTCATAGGGACACATCAGATCACAGAGTGGTTCTCCGTGTGATGAATGTATTGACATCCAAGTTATAAATGGCAATAAAGACAAATGGATTAAATTGTTTGTCATGTTAAAATGCTTATGATCTTGCCTTTTTCATTGAGGGTGGGGGGGTGCATGTATAGTTACCCACTCACAGCTTTATATCTTTATTTCTGTTTGTGTGTACTGTAAGTCCCATCACTAGTTGTTCATCTTGAGATTGGGAGTCATTCATTCCATGTGGACATTCTTTAGTCTTAGTTTCACAGTATAAATACCCAGTAATGCTTTGTTTCAAGGGGTTCAGTGCAAATGTTCGTGTTTTTTTTTCAAAATTTAAAATGTGGGAAGAGAGCTAGAGCAGAAGGAACAATTGACCAACAGAATATATAAGAAAAATCATGAACCAGAAAAAGCAGGGGACTAATGGAGTATATAAGAAAATGTTTAAATAATGCACAAGTTTGCAAGCAATGAGCCACATATGTGGTCAACTGAGTTTAGGACTCAAACTGATTCTAGTTCACTTGCCAATACTTGCATGTGTGTCCATTATGTTCAGAAACCATTGCACTACTACCTTCAATATTGTTCACAGCAGAAAGAAGCATCAAGTAGGTAGGAGGTGATATACTGACTCAACCAGCCCAACCAAAAGAACATGGGAGATAATCAACCCATGAAGGAATCAAGGCACTAAGGAAGTGTACTCCATGATACCCTATCCAAAAACTGTCACCAAATAGAAAGGAAAATGGTGAGGCCAGCCTGCAGCCAAACAAAAGAAAAATGAATGAGAACATCGTACATGTTCACTTCTAAACCCGGAATTGCCCGCACCGATGACATGCATAGGCATCCACTGCTTTAAGTACAATATTAGTTTGTGTGTGTATATAAATAGGTGTTCAGTGCCAAGATCTATGTCCAGGACCCAGGTCCCTAGTCACCACCAAGACATTGAAGAAACTCTTAAGTATCTGCACCTGGCTGAATTCTATGCTAATCTACTTCAAAGGGGATACAGTACATACATCTAAAAAAGAGCCGAGGAAGAAAACTGAAACAAAACTTGTAATAGATAGTACTAGACAGAGGTACACAGTGAAGCATACATACACTGAAAGATGATAAGCCCCTGCACAGACTAAATTCTCAAGAATAAACCAATAAAAGCTAAGCTTAGTGGCCATTGCAGAGCCAGAGGCAGGAAGTGTGGATTGCCAGACAACAAGTGAGGTTGCTGGCTCCTCTGATCCTGTTAGTGATGATGTTGCTACACGCTCATGATCGAGGTAATGGCTGATTACCCAACCAGTAGTTAGTCGAGTGATTTTTTTTTTTTTTATGCAAATTCTTTTGTATGCAGTATTACCAAGATGGTCACTTGGTGGTCACTCGAGTGAAATTATTGTCCCCTCTTTTCCCAGCTATATGCCCAGACTACTATTATTGATCATGGTAGGCAGAATGCATCTCTGTGTACCTATACGCTGCTATCTCAAGGGAGCAGTTGATGGGCTTAGAAATAAATTATTATTCTCTATCAGGATAAAACTAATTGAGACCCTGTAAATAGATATAATCACAGAAAATACATTTTGCGATATATATTGTCCTGCCAAAATGCGAAACCTGGAGAGAGGGGCGGACTGTGCTGCTGGGAGCACAGCAATGAACCGCTCCACAAAGGTGTTAATAACATGGTGTATAATTTCCTTTTAACTTTTATTCATTTATTCTAAATATTAGTAAAAGTAATGTCTTCTGACAGATATAATGACATAGGATAAAAACCTATACTTGTGTATTTGTGAAATTTATGTAAGGAATTTACACCAAGTCTTTTTGCACTCTTCCGAGTGCTTTATCAAGGTCTGAGTGCGTGGTTAGGACGAAATTTACATCTCAATGTCTAAACGTGATGTCTAAACAACGTTGATTAGACGTTGAGATGTATGTCTCGTCCTAATCACACACTCAGACCTTGATAAAGCACTCAGGAGAGTGCGAAAGACTTGGTGTAAATTCCTTACATAAATTTCACAAATACACAAGTGTGGGTTTTTATCCTATTGTAAATATTATAATAAATTTATGTATAACAAAAATATAAATATTTTTTTATTAAGGTATGTTACATATTTTGTTACATATTTTGTATGTTACATATTTTGCATGTTACATATTGTATATGTTACATATTGCAGTCCCTGTGGCGTAGTGGTAACACACTCGCCTGTTGTTTCACGAGCGCTTTGGCCTGGGTTCGTATCCTGGCCGGGGAGGATTTACTGGGCACCAATCCTTAACTGTAGCCTCTGTTTTAACTCAACTGTAAAATGGGTACCTGGTTGTTAAACGATTTGGCGGGGGTCATATTCCGGGGAATACAGTACAGTACAGTATTAGGATTAAGGACTTGCCTGAAACGCTGTGTGCGCTTGTGGCTGTACAAGAATGTAAGAACTCTTGTATATATAAATAAAAAATATATATACAGTATATATATATATTTTGTGTTACATATTTTGTGTTACACATATTGTGTTAAATATTTTGTGTTCATATTTTGTGTCATATATATTTTGTATGTTACATATTTTGTATGTAGCAACATTTTATGTACAAAAGACATATGGTACAGTATATTTATTTAAGCATATTCAAGTTTATTTAAAAGCTTTGAAAGAGCTTCGTTAATGATTAATGGTAATTATTGAGAAGAGCATTTTTTCCTCATTTTGAGAGGCGACTATAAGTGAGAAAATAACACGTAACGCAGGAGAAGAAAAGGGCAGAATTTATTTCATTATTTATTATGTGCTTTGTAATAAAATATATAAAATTCTTTGGTAAATTTTCTTAATTGTTCTATTCAAGTTTTTTCACTTGATAACTCATAAAACATTTTTAATGGTTTGTTGTGATATTCGTAGAGTACTGTTTCGTTATTCAAAATGTAATAAAAATGGAAAAAAAAAACTGATTGTGTTAATTTGATCATATTTTCAAATAGAAAACAGACTGAACAAAAATACAGTACAGTAAATACACCCATCTATAGTACAGTATTTTGTTAATTTTTCATGTTTATTTTTACACTATGAAATTTTTTTTAACCATAGACAAAATCTTACATCATATAGTGAAAATGTTTTGCCGTACATTAAACTTTAGTCATGTGACATTTTCACATGAATATAATTCCTGTATTTACTAAGATTTGATAACTCACTCACTCTCTCTCTGGGCTAAAATTATCTAATAAAATTATAGACCTTGTTACTATACAGTGCACACAAAATCATTAACTAAAAGAATTTTGAAGCACGTGGCACTATCGTACCCAAAAACATCTGTTGAAAATACTGTATTAAGCTTGAAATATTTTCTATATTTTTCTTCATTCACCCATCTATAGATTATTTTCCCCTCAATCCAAATTTCAGGAACTGATATCAGTATCAAAATTTAATTAATTTTTAATTCCTTATATCCAAGTTGAACTATTTTCCATTGTTTTTCTCAAATTTGTTAAGTTTTAACTCATTTGCAAACAAAAAAATCATTACTTTTTGTAATATTTTAAGAAATGCATAAAAGTAGAAACCGTGGGTTGAAAAAGTGTTGCACTTCAATACTTAAAGGCACAGCTTGAAATGTCTTTTTATCTTGCTATAAACATAATAAATTCATATTTAATAAATATCATTTTCAGGCTGCATATTGATCCCTTGGTATGGATATGGTCCATCCAAAATATGGTATTGCAGCCAAAGGGGTTAAGAATTTTATACCAGTTTGTAAATTGGCCAGAAGTTAGGATAGTTAAATGTATTAATATTCATTGTTATATTCATTGTTGGATATAACAAAAGAAGTATCTGGCATGCTGCATTAATCCACCCTATACCAATCTGAACCTAAACATATCGAATGTATTAGATATTTCTTTAATTAAATATTTATAGAAATTTCGATGATGACTACCTACAGGGAAATTGGGAAATTGCTGCTTACAACTTCAGTCGCCCGGAAGTGTCACCTGGATTCTCCTCCTCTTTAAGATAAGATTCCAGCACTTGCGTTAATCTGGTCAATAGGTTACAAGCTTCCACAATATTGGTTGTGGACTTGGATGCTACCTGACGATCCACACACTCCTCACCACTTTCATTCACCTTAATCAACACTATTATGACTTTTTACTGCTGCTAACCACTTCTGCAGTAGTACCTATGACACTTGCTCTCACTACTATTATGTCCGCTTGTATGATAAGTCATCACCTGTGAGGACAAAACATTCTGACCACCACCTCAGGGAGATAACTGATGCATCCTTGACAAAATGAGGCTTGCTGAATAATACAGATGAAATTTGGTCGTTTCATCATGCAGTCGGCCTATTGTTATGGGAAGCAATTAGCTAACTACAGATTCCTGAATGCAGTCACGATGTGCCAGCCTGTGAGGACATCACTGTCATTGTGATGATGTGACTGATGAACCAACAGAAGGGAAGACTTGTCTGTATATCAACCCAACTAATGACATGTTATGAAGATGGAGCAGAGATGTATTGGTATTCTGCTATGGTATATCAGCTTGTGTGGACATTAGTATTGACTGTTCCTTGTGACTCTCCAGCTGATAGCCATAGGCATGGCATTGTGGCTGTTAGTGAAGGCTTTGGGATTGAGCTATTATATCAGGAATGATATATAAGTCTTAAAAGTCTTCCTCATCCATCAAGATAGATAATGATGATTGCAGATGGATGGCCACAGTTATACATGGAGTTCCTTTAGCCACCATGCAAGCATCCAAGTGCTGCAACTGGAGCAGGTTGTACAACTGTCCTCGATGGTGCGCCCATTCTGAAGTGAAATTAAAGAGGGTGTTCTTCCATGTATGTTGCTGTATAGTTAGCCTCGGAGCTGCGGCCAGAGTAGACTACAACTGCCCTCAATGGTGTAGCTATCCTGAAGTGCGAGGAAATGTGTGTTTCCCCTTGGATATAGATTTGTGGTTGCCAGCAGCCATAGAAGCTACTGTACCAGAGCAATAGACAGCATAACACTTGTATTTTGTAGCTGTAGTGATATCTAGAAGTGTTGGTGTTACTGCTACTTGGGCGAGTGTGCGCGCTTGCCGTCCCCACTGATGTAAACACATTAGTTAAGTTGGAAGTGACTAATTAGGGAATTGGAAACAAGGAGAATAGCAAAAATCACCAGTGTAATTCATATGACTTCTGGCAGCTCAGACCTTGAGACGAGCAAGATGTTTACATCGTCAATGGGCTGATCAAATGACAGCTAACCTAGTTACCACCACCCATCCTTTTAAGTCTGAGATAGCAGAGTTTGATGGTACAATACTGAGGAAAGAAAGTAAGAACTAGCAAAGCTAGCATTTGTTCCTTCAAATAAGACATGAGAAGTCCACTCTTGTTACTAAAGCTTTCATTTATTATGCAAGCAATATTTACTTGAAACCAGTAGGTCCATACATTGATGTCAGTTAAGTGCCCGCTGTTAAATTTGGATAGCTGAGATGTCCGTAGTGTAATAAAAGTTAAGAATTGTTTTGTGCCGTCACTCAGTTTTATGAGTGACCAGTGTTGTGTGAATTAAGAGAGAACATTTATGTGACTACTCTCTTTGGTGAGAGAAGGATTTCTGATGTGTCTTGGACAGGAGCTGGGATCTTGGGGACCATTGTTATCTCCAAACAGCTATATCTCTTGAAAGTTCCAACAAGATGTAGGCCTTCTCTGAAGAATGCAGTGTTGTAATTATTCTGGCATGAAGTTGTACCAAGGCTTGTCTGTGCTCACCAAACTAGGCATTCTCCACCTAAGTGTCGGGTAGTACACAAATTCTCCAAGAGTTTTAATAGACAGTACAACTTCCTTCCAACTACTGTGTATTGCCACTGTAATCATTTCCCTGCCATAAAGTTAAACATTTCTGGAAGCAATGAATAGTTGCAACTTTTGGAAACAACACAACTGAATTACTTGCTGTTATGTAGACATTAGTTGTGGATTCTTGAGTCTACCACATGATGCATCATTCCCTCTCCACTCTCATTCATCTTTGTCGTCACCACTATGACTAAGGTTGCTGTTTCTTCTGCTACCACTTCTGAAGTAGCACCTACAATACCTGCTTACATTTGCTGCAGTGTTCATCATTCAGCATCAATGAACTCATGACACAAAAGTATGCAAAGTGTTTGCAGATCAAGGAATGATAGAGTTCAGGTGATGATGTGTGTGTGTGATCTAATCACATAGTTCATTATCACCACTGAATTATGTTCAGGCCAGAGGGCATCATTTATTCACTTAGGGATTGATTTCATTAGCGTTGCATAATGGGATGCCGTGATGTGTTTCCACACACTTCATGCTCCATGAACTAGCAGTCCACAAGTACTGAATGTTTTTTAAGACTCAGGGGTGCTAAATGTACTCGCCTGAGATACATGGCACTGGAGTTTTCCTGGAACAGGTAACACTGGTTCTACAGTGAACTGTGTGTGTGTGTGTGTGAGAGTAATAGCAAGCAGAGCATCGCTCCAACAACTTGTACACATATTCATTTGTGCACATATTCAGATGTGCTGGTGATAGCTTGTGTTTTCTGCATTAGTGTCAAAAGTAAACTGCCTTGACAGTTATAGTTGAGCATCTCTCTGATTATGGCTGTGATTTGTGTATATTATATACTGTATTTTGTACATACTGTATTTGTGTATACAGTATTGGTACTGTGTATATTATAAATTAATATTATTGTAGGTGACACACATTACTTGTGCCTTGTGCTGCTTACCAAGTGATTTTATGAGTGATTCTTAATAATCACACCAGTGGGTGGATTCTTTTGTGTGTTCAGTAACTGTTATCATATCGATGCTAATGTAACACTCCAACTTTTGTTTGTATTTACTGTATTTACCATCTAAGTTCAATAAATTGATAACAAAAGTTACAATTTCCATATCCACCTTTTGCAATATTTCCATGTGTGCAAAATCTTACCTCCCTAGCCTTACATTAAGATAAATATAACATCCTGTTCATAGCCAGTCTTGCTGTTTGCAACTCCTTTCCTAGGGTTAATATGTGCCATACACCTGTGTGCACCGAAGGTCTAAGAGTGCATGGTTACTTCCCACTTTCCTTGGGTTGAGCTGTAACTACTCTTCAGCCTCTGATGCATTCATGAGAATCCTTTCATTTCTTCTTGCAAGAAATATTGAATTTACTACTTGACTATTGACAATTTGGGAAATTTAATGAAGGGTATTGCAATACTGTATTGGAAGGTCAAAGGGCCATGTTTTGTGGGATAATGATTAGAGGAAAAGATAACAAATAGGATGTGATACATTATCTTTAAATGTGCAAAAGTCATGGAAATGTTATCACATTCAGGAAGTAAATGGATGAAATGAGTAAAAATAATCCATGGTTAACAGTCACTACCAGGAAACCCAAAATATGAAAGTTGGGAAAGAAGTGAATTACTATACTGTAGTTTGACAATGACATGGCAGCAAATACTAAAGATCAGCTAAAGTTATTGCACAGACACTTTAGGCAGTAATTTAGAGTAACGGTCTAAATAAAAAGGTACACAAAGAGTAATAAGGTAGTGTGTGAGGTACTCAGCATAAAACTTGGACTGTTTTTTAATACTGAACTAGAGTGGAAGTTAGTCATAGTTGATGGCAGGAGGATAGCTGTGACAATAAGTAACATTGTGGTTTCTTAGAATCAGATAAAAAGATGGAATTGTGTCGAAGGCAGGACTAAATATTTCCATGATCACTAAAAGAAGTCATTATATTACATAGGCTACTAACTGGCACATGTAGAAAGTAACACTTGAGACGGGACGCCCAGATATCTTTGAAACTGTAAATGTGGTACCAATACAGTAGAGTATTTAAGAATGGGCACTTAGCATGGAGGTCCTAAATAACACTGATAACCTTGCCATGCCTTCCCTTGTCCTACCTTTCAGTTTAAATAGGCTGTTCTTGTTTATGTTATCTATTCCCCTCAATATCTTGTATGTAGGGGGGTCATGTCTATCTGTTTCTTCTCCTTTCTAAGATTTTGAGGTTGAGTTTGAATAACCTTTCTTCATGCTGATCTCAAATCTGGCACCAAGCTAGCTGCAAACCTCTGTACTGTACTTTGTCAAGTTTTCTTTTGTGCTTTATGAGTTTTGGATTCCATTCCATTGTTGCATTTTCCAGAACTGGTGCATAGGCAGTTTATATAAGACTTTGAAGCACCCTTGTTTATAAATGCTGCTCTTGGGTTTGCCAACCTAATTGTGGAGTACTGATTTCTGACACTTAAGAACTTTCATGCTTGCTTTTTGTACCCATGTTTATACTTTTTCCATGTCTTTTCTGTCCTCTCCCTTTCCTTGTTTCATTGTTAAATCATGGTTGGCTGTTCTCTTCAGTATGAGAGAAGCAGCTATTGAAAAAAAAAAATCTAGGTGTGAATGTAATATCAGGTTTAAAGCTGGGGAACTCGAACATCAACAGCTTATGCAAAATTGGCAAACATATTATAGATGGTATTTTTTAAATTTTAATGGAAAATCATTCAAAATTATAATTAGAGACAAGATCAACTTTACCAGGCCTAAAATATGTTCCGCTGCACATTCCGTCTTGTGAATCAAAATATGAATATTATACTATACAGTACTTGAACTTTTGCAAGTGTCTGTATACAGTGATATGCAATACAAATAAAATTAAAAAAATACAGTAAAGACATTATATGCAGTATTTATGGAATTACTTTGAAAAATCTTTTGACAGTGTGCTTATTTCAGGGGGTTGACTCTGAATTTGCAAAGTAAAAAAAAAAAAAGGGTGCATGACATAAGTATAAGGGGCTTTTATGGAGAGAGAGAGAGAGAGAGAGAGAGAGAGTGGGGGAGAAGGGAAGGGAATTAACAATGGAAAGTGCCAAGCCATTACGACTATATAGCACCTGGAAGGAATCGGGATAATTGGGATGGGACGGGGGGGAAGGAATAGTGCCCAATCACTTGGACAGTAAAGAATTGAATGCCGACCTGCATGAAGCACAAAGGCTTCATTCCTAATAATATATGTTTCATGAGATGAACATTTAGCTGACCAGGGATACCCGCCAAACACACAGCGAAACTACGACGTTGATACAACGTTCGAACAAGTTTTAACACCTCCTAACCAGTTATAACAACCAATATAGCAAGTTGTAACAACGTTCTAATACGTCATAAACACGTTAAGCCAAGATGTAACAACTTTATTGCAAGTTGTAACAAGCGGAAAATAGAGACAGTTTCGGTTTGTGTTTCCGGGATACTTTCCATGATGAATGTAATTTTTAAAAAAATCTTGTTTATGTTTGTCTCCACATCTTCAAATTCCTAATATTTCACAGTGAATTAATAGATTCATGAAATTATAATTCTATTTTTCAGGGAAAAGTGGTAACAAGTTGGGAGCAACCCAAGGAGGAGATGGTTGCATATCGTTCATTCCAGCCCTTCATACCACTGCTCACAGCCCTCAATATGCACCAAGTTCAGCTGTGGGCCGTTTGGGCATTACATCATGTCACTACCAAAAATAGTGAGTACTGTAGCCAGCTGTTTTAAAATTGTCTGAATTGGTGCATGTTGATAAATCAGTTCAGAAATAGTGTGACTAGCTTACTGTATTCAAACTGTTAGTATTACTTTATATTGCTCAATGAGTTTTCAGAAATTCCATAATGTAGTTTAATGCATAATATTTTCAGCATTATCGTATGTAGCTAAATACTGTAAGTCGTCAATGCTGTAAATTAGTTAACAAAGCTCTGCTTCCGTAAAGTGCAGTTATCACCTTACGTTAATCCCTGGGGTAAGGCGGTTATTATATGTTTTTATTTATTTATTTATTTCTATATATATATATATATATATATATATATATATATATATATATATATATATATATATATATATATATATATATATATATATATATATATATGTCGTACCTAGTAGCCAGAACTCACTTCTCAGCCTACTATGCAAGGCCCGATTTGCCTAATAAGCTAAGTTTTCATGAATTAATTGTTTTTCAACTATCTAACCTACCTAACCTAACCTAACCTAACTTTTTCAGCTACCTAACCCAACCTAACCTATAAAGATAGGTTAGGTTAGGTTAGGTGCGGTTGGTTAGGTTCGGTTGACCTCATACATAATGAAATGGGTAGCTTTATCATTTTATATTAATTTTGGCTTATTAGGCAAATCGGGCCTTGAATAGTAGGCCGAGAAGTATTCTGGCTACTAGGTACGACATATATATATATATATATATACACACACACACACACATATATATATATATATATATATACATATACACATATATATATATATATACACACATATATACACACACACACACACACACACACACACACACACACACACACACACACACACACACACACACACACACACACACACACACACACACACACACACACACACACACACACACACACACACACCACACACACACACACACACACACACACACACACACACACACACACACACACCACACACACACACACACACACACACACACACACACACACACACACACACACACACACACACACACACACACACACACACACACACACACACACACACACACACACACACACACACACACACACACACACACACACACACACACACACACACACACACACACACACACACACACACACACACACACACACACACACACACACACACACACACACACACACACACACACACACACACACACACACCACACACACACACACACACACACACACACACACACACACACACACACACACACACACAGACAGTATTACAGGAAAATTAGTTTGGTTTACGAACCGTCTCTGGGAATGGATTAAAATTATAAATGGAGGTACCACTGTATTATATTAGTGTAATATAACTATTATAACAAGAACAAGGTGCTAGGAATAGTGATAAAGATATAAAATACACATAATCGCATTACTGAGAATTTCATCTCTTTCAGGCAAGCGCTACTGCCACATGCTGGTGCGTGAGGGAGTAGATGATGTCCTTCGAAAATTAGTGGCATTACCTGCTTCTAATGCCTCGGTTCGAGAATTAGCTGGAAAAGTTGTAGATGTACTCCAAGAAAATGGATATACCAAGGGGCTATAATATATGGACTTGGTTTTAGATACCAAAATCATCTTCTATAAGATCATTTTTATGTACGATTGTAGTATGTATGTAGATTCTGTTTGTTGTCATATTAAACAAAAATTATTTTCATTCTGATATTTACCTTAGGGTATTTATTAAAAAAAATAACTATCACAGTTTTGGAATAAAGATGAAATAAAAAAAAAGTTTTAACCAAAAATTAAATGTGTTTTCAGCACATCTATATCAAATTGGGCTATATATGTACATATTGATAACTTCACCACTTCATGTCCTGGTCTGGTAGACCATAAATGTATTTTATGTTAAATATTATTTAAACTTCCGTTAACAGATTGTATATATATTTATGCAACTATACATTAATTCAGTATTTAAAAAGTGTATGGATGTTTTTGTTGATGTGTGTTTGGATGTGGTGAAAGGGCATGTGTACTGGTAGTACACACACACACACATACCAGTGCATGTATGTGTGCTTGTATGTACACATGCATGTACTCACCTAGTTGTGTTTGAGGGGGCTGAGCTCTGGCTCTTGGTCCCGCCTCATGTATGTACACATACATGCATGTATGTATGCTTGTATGTACACATGCATGTATGTGTGCTTGTATGTATACATACATGCATGTATGTGTGCTTGTATGTACACATGCATGTATGTGTGCTTGTATGTACAAGTGCATGTATGTGTGCTAGTATGTACAAGTGCATGTATGTGTACTTGTATGTACATGTGCATGTATGTGTGCTTGTATGCACACATGCATGTATGTGTGCTAGTATGTACACATGCATGTGTATGTGCTAGTATGCACACATGCATGTA